TTTCTTTCGCACTTGACGATTCTTTAAGCGACCCTCGTGCGGCATGTCGAATCCGGTTGACTGTTCTTTTGACAGATGAATACGATGGAACAGCAGCAATCAATTCATATCCCATGTCTTTCACAGGTACTATTTCTTCTTCATATAAGGTTCTTTCGTTCGTACACCACCTTATTTACCTTAGTTTACTTCCCTCCTTATTCCTTATACACATGTCGAGTGTAATTCACTCCTGCTAAATAGCTGGTGAAGAAAATATCCACCAGTGGACACCACATCGCCGACAGGAAAGTTTAGTGGATTTTACACCGGGCCGAACGAAAGGTTTAGTGTACGTTGGTGTAGTTCATTCCTACACCAGTGGGACGAACGAAAGAACCTATATAGTGTCCTTACTGTTACGTCCTCTTCTGTAGCCCTTTTACGAGTTTCGGCAACTCGTTTCTTCACATCGCAGCGGTATCAGGTTTACAATTGTGATCCACAGTATGTTGAATGATATCGTTATTGGTCACCATAGCTCCTTTACACATCTCGGACTTCCCTTTGGAGCAAACCCAGCGTATGTTACTGTTTTTCGCTACTTTTTGCTTTCTATACAAATAACCTTCGTAAACTGCAAGTGGTTTCCCTTTGGTACTTTCGATAAATTTAAGTTTCGAATTATCCATATTATCGATAACAATATTACAGAGTTCAAAATTTAATGTAATGTCAGTAAACCAAACAAAATTTTTTATTTCATTCTGTCCAGCAAATCTACTTATAGTTTCTTTTAACACGTTCACGACCGCTATTATGAAATTTGACGATGCTAGAAACCAACCGCGTTTTTTTGGGTGGCATAACTTTTTGACAGAAATATTATATTTTTTATAGGTTATATGTGTTTTGTTATCTATTTTTTTGTATTTTTACCTAATGTCACATATATGTGACATCGGTTTCCGAGAAGTATTTCATTACAATATACCACCTGTCACAATAGTGTGACGTGTTATTTTGGATAAATTATAACATATTTTATAATCTAAATAAAATTAAGGATATATTTTTTGATTATTTATATTGTAAAAAACTGAGAAAATTAGAGGAAAATAAAAAATTATTTTGATATTATTGTTACAAAAAAATATTTCCGTGCAAAATAAAAGGTTGCAAATTGTATAGCTGTTCCAAAAACTTGTATGAGTTATGTCATCGGTTTGCAGCACTTTTGCAATTTTTTTTCTTTGATATAAACAAAAACGCTATTTTACAAAAAAAAAAAAAATCATGCGGACTTTCAAAAAAGTTGCAAATAATATAATATAGGTCTGTTCCAACAACGATCAGAAACCAGTTACTGACACCAGGATTCTGCGCGGTAAATTATTTGGACCGCCAAATTTTTTTCTCAACAAAAGCGCCTTTTTGCCACAAATTAACTAGTTCCGGACCTTGGAAATGGTTGCAAATTTAAACATAGTGTTATTTAAACTAGCCGAATATAATTACAAAGTTTAACAACTTTTGTAATTAATGTAAAATATTCAAAATAGGATGTCTACTGACTGGCCTATGGGGTAACCCACCCTCCACACGTTACAGATACAGAGATAAACGCTATTTCATAAATCATTATTTCAAGGAGTAAAAGGAAACTTCATGGACAAATAAGATATGTAGTTCTAAAATATTAAAATGTATGTTACGAAATGAAATATAATTAATGTCTTAAGTATAGGACAACTCGAAAGTGGGTAAAGACTGACTAATACAAGGTCCCAACCCAGACAGCACACCAAATCCTTTGGATATCTACTGAACATCCCAATATCCACTGAATGTCCAGTCCATGGTGGATATCTATTTTATATCCATGAAATGTAATTTATAGACATGCAAATGTCCATAAATAATAGTAATTATATAGCAAATTATTAAAAAATTACGCCATTGTGCTCGCCATTGTGGCTAATAGTACCGTTCAGATATTTAAAATTAATTTTTTTAAGGTGTATTCAATATCCCATGGACATCCACATATATCAAAGTCTTAGCGCGGACGCAAACCATCGTGGATATCTACTAGATATAATTTTTGATTTTGCTTCCTAAGTATAGATGGCGATACCACTTTCGTATCTACTCATGCTCAACCCGCCATAATTGAGTTGATCGAAAATTTTTTCGCATTAAGACTCTATTAGAGACTGGAGTCGATAATTTCTATTTATTGTTGAAGAGTTCTAATAAGAATGACTTTTTCCTTAGTGGGCAAACTCAAAGGCAGATTGTTGGAAATATTTTTTATCTCTATTTTCTTTCGACGTTATTCAATAATCATTTGGTTACTTATGAATGTCTACTAAAGATACTTATAAAATATTTTGCTGAATATCTGATTTCTATATCCTGGGATATAGACGGACATTTGGTTGGATATCCATATTGGATATCCACAAAATATATTCTGTGGATAGTGTGGATATCTCTGGGATTTCTTGTATTGTATGGAAGATACTAATTAGATATTTTGCTGAATATCCATAGAATATCTTCTATATTCTGGATATAGACGGACATTTGGATATCCATATTAGATCCACGGAATATTTCTGATATCCTGTGGATATATTGGATATCCACAAAAGATATTCTGTGGATATCTCTGGGATTTGGTGTGTTGTCTGGGAATATGACAATAAAGTTCTTATTATTTGTTCGGAAAAAAATATTTGATTGACAAAAATTCCACGAAAATTCAATAGAATTTGTCCATATACCGATATCAGAAAATAACACGAGGCATCAACAAAACTTCTGAAACAAAAACGAATACGCAAGAAAATTGGATTGGGTATAATTAGTCTTTTACTGAATGTCTAGTGGCTTATCATTTATTGCAAATATATGGCCCAAATTATATCTGTAGAAGATGTAAATGGATTTTTTAAAATTTAAAGCCGTTAATAGTCAAATAGTTTAACAATATCTTTTCAACCTGTTATACCAAAATAAACTCTTTATCAGATAACGATTTATCAACGAATTTACCAAAACATTTCTAATACTATACCGAATTATTTAAACCGGTATTCTCAATTGAATTCGGGTTAGTTTGATCTTTAAAATTTCCTTCACATCTAGCGTTTTCTGCAATTTTATAATTTGCTAGTTGTTCATAGACTTGTTGCATCCTTTGAATGTTTATACGACTCGCAACCGTGTGGTTAATCATGGGTAACGGGTAATCTTTTCCTATAATGCACTTTGCTGCTTGCTGTATTCTTTCCGGAGCCAACCAAGGCTCGTGGATATATTGATTTGGTATATTCTTTAATGTAGGTAGGTACTTTCTGAAAATAAAAAATATTGATAATTATTTATAATATTCCAAGAAAATACTGTACTTATTTTCCCTGTCTGGCATTCGATTATACCTATAATTATGACTATAACTATGAGATAAATGCGATAGAGGATCGGCCTTGGACGTAAACTATAATTTGCCTCAATTTTGTATGAATAGGAGAATGTCAAACATTTTTTACAGGACCTTAAGAAAGTACAAAACAAATTTATCCATATTTCAAAGTACAAATCAGTAAGCCCAGACATTTTGATTCATATACTTATACTTTTCTTGTTTCTAATTTTTCAAGTTGCACACTCATTAAATAAACATGCCACATTATAATATGTAGGTAAGGGGGTGGGTGGTTCAGTGGTAGAGTCTCTGCCTGCGGAATCAAGGGTCCTAGGTTCCAATCCCACCGTTGGCCAGGATTTTTTTTATTTAATTTAATTATTTAAAATTATTTCTGATGCCTTGGTAGGATTTCCCACTCGGCCATTCACTGCTGGGTTCTAATTAACACTGCTGTTCCTGAAGTGGCGCTGGGAAATAATAACAAAGCCTACACAGAACACACATGATTGAGGATTTAAATACAAAACTAAGACTGGCATATTAGGTACATACACCTAGAGGCAACAAATCGAAAAAAAAAAAAAATGTAGGTAGGTATATGAAAATGGTTTGCAGTTTGCTTAAAATAATAAATACCTAATATAATCTCCATTAGGGTCAGCCTTTCGACCAAATTTTATCGGACAATAACAATGAAAAAACTGCTGAAAAAAACTTGAACAAGACAGCCACATCCATGTTCCGGCGTTGACGGACCAATCGGCGTCTAATAGTAATTCTTCAAATACCTACAAACAATGAGTTTAAGCTTAATACAATTAGGTACAAATATTGGTATGATAATCATTTTACATATAATAATTTCCTATACAATTAAAGTTAGAAACATATCAAAGTGAACAGCGGAATATTTTGTTTTCTGTTTTGTTGTCGTTTTGTCCTTTTTTGTTGTCGTTTTTTTTTGTTGTTTTTTTGTTGTCGTTTTTTGTTGTTTCTTGTTTTTGTTTTTTGTTTTCGTTTTTTATTGTCATTTTTTGTTGTTTCTTGTTTTTTGTTGTCGTTTCTTGTTGTCGTTTTTTGTTGTTTCTTGTTTTTTTTTGTTTCTTGTTTTTTTTTGCTTTTTTTAGTTTGTGTTTTTGTTTGTGTTTTTATTTGTGTTTTTATTTGTGTTTTTATTTGTGTTTTTATTTGTGTTTTTATTTGTGTTTTTATTTGTGTTTTTATTTGTGTTTTTATTTGTGTTTTTATTCGTGTTTTTATTTGTGTTTTTGTTTGTGGTTTTGTTTGTTTTTGAAGATTTTTGTTTATTTTTGTTTGTGTGTATTTTTTTCGTGTTTTTGTCCGTGTGTTTGCCCGTGTGTTTGTTCGTGTGTTTGTTCGTGTGTTTGTTCGTGTATTTGTTCGTGTTTTTGTTCGTGTTTTTGTTCGTGTTTTTGTTCGTGTTTTTGTTAGTGTTTTTGTTAGTGTTTTTGCTAGTGTTTTTGCTAGCGTTTTTGTTAGCGTTTTTGTTAGCGTTTTTGTTAGCGTTTTTTTTTTGTTAGCGTTTTTTTTTTGTTAGCGTTTTTGTTAGCGTTTTCGTTTGTTTTCATTGGTTTTCATTGGTTTTCGTTTGTTTTCCTTTGTTTTCCTTTGTTTTCCTTTGTTTCCCTTTGTTTCCCTTTGTTTTCCTTTGTTTTCCTTTGTTTTCCTTTATTTTCCTTTGTTTTCCTTTGTTTTCCTTTGTTTTCCTTTGTTTTCCTTTGTTTTCCTTTGTTTTCCTTTGTTTTCCTTTGTTTTCATTTGTTTTCCTTTGTTTTCCTTTGTTTTCCTTTGTTTTCCTTTGTTTTCCTTTGTTTTCCTTTGTTTTCCTTTGTTTTCCTTTGTTTTCCTTTGTTTTCCTTTGTTTTCCTTTGTTTTCCTTTGTTTTCCTTTGTTTTCCTTTGTTTTCCTTTGTTTTCCTTTGTTTTCCTTTGTTTTCCTTTGTTTTCCTTTGTTTTCCTTTGTTTTCCTTTGTTTTCCTTTGTTTTCCTTTGTTTTCCTTTGTTTTCCTTTGTTTTCCTTTGTTTTCCTTTGTTTTCCTTTGTTTTCCTTTGTTTTCCTTTGTTTTCCTTTGTTTTCCTTTGTTTTCCTTTGTTTTCCTTTGTTTTCCTTTGTTTTCCTTTGTTTTTCTTTGTTTTCCTTTGTTTTCCTTTGTTTTCCTTTGTTTTCCTTTGTTTTCCTTTGTTTTCCTTTGTTTTCCTTTGTTTTCCTTTGTTTTCCTTTGTTTTCCTTTGTTTTCCTTTGTTTTCCTTTGTTTTCCTTTGTTTTCCTTTGTTTTCCTTTGTTTTCCTTTGTTTTCCTTTGTTTTCATTTGTTTTCCTTTGTTTTCCTTTGTTTTCCTTTGTTTTCCTTTGTTTTCCTTTGTTTTCCTTTGTTTTCCTTTGTTTTCCTTTGTTTTCCTTTGTTTTCCTTTGTTTTCCTTTGTTTTCCTTTGTTTTCCTTTGTTTTCCTTTGTTTTCCTTTGTTTTCCTTTGTTTTCCTTTGTTTTCCTTTGTTTTCCTTTGTTTTCCTTTGTTTTCCTTTGTTTTCCTTTGTTTTCCTTTGTTTTCCTTTGTTTTCCTTTGTTTTCCTTTGTTTTCCTTTGTTTTCCTTTGTTTTCCTTTGTTTTCCTTTGTTTTCCTTTGTTTTCCTTTGTTTTCCTTTGTTTTCCTTTGTTTTCCTTTGTTTTCCTTTGTTTTCCTTTGTTTTCCTTTGTTTTCCTCTGTTTTCCTCTGTTTTCCTCTGTTTTCCTCTGTTTTCCTCTGTTTTCCTCTGTTTTCCTCTGTTTTCCTCTGTTTTCCTCTGTTTTCGTTCGTTTTCGTTCGTTTTCGTTCGTTTTCGTTCGTTTTCGTTCGTTTTCGTTCGTTTTTGTTCGTTTTTGTTCGTTTTATTCGTTTTTGTTCGTTTTTATTCGTTTTTGTTTGTTTTTGTTTACAGTATTTTTTAGATTTACCTTCATGCCTTCCTCCCACGAAATCCAGAGGTCTCCTCGGGTTAAAAAACAAGCAACAGCATGTCTAGCTATGTGATGTATCCATCCTTCTAGCCTTAGTTGCGTCATTATAGCATCTATCCAAGGAAAACCAGTTTGGCCCTATTTAAAAAAGTATAGTGTTTTAAATAACTATTTTGAATTACATATTTATAAAGCAAATGCTTGAAAAGTTTTGACGAAATAGTCTGAAAATTTATTAAAAATGTGTCTTCCACGTTGATTTTGCATAAAAAGATATGTGTTTTAATAATTAGACCATAATATTTTTTAACTAAAATACACTTACATTTGCCCACTTAGCCAGTGCTTCGGCATTTTTATCCCAAGGAATTTGAACACATATTGGATTTCCAAACATTTTGTCGAATTTAGGATTTTTGGTAGCAGCGCAGTAGAAAAATTCTCTCCATAACAATTGGCCGTGTAAAGACAACGGAGGAAATGCTTTCTTGATTTTTTTGTACAAATCGGTCAACTGATAATAGAAAAGTCTCGTCGATAAGCAGCCGAATCTTAAATATGGCGACAGACCAGTTTGGGAAGGTAGCAGAGATTGAGGAGTCATTTTTGGTCGGCCGAAAGATGCTACCCAAGCTTTTCGTTCTAAATGTCTTTCTAAGCGCGCCAAGGATTCACTTTCACCACCATGCCATACCGGAGGACTCAAACCTATAAATATGAATACGTCCTTTTTCTCCACACAAATACTAATTACCTGCATTAATTTATATATGTTTAGATATGTTTAAATATGTTTATATATGTTTATATATATGTTTATATATTGTTATGGGGGATGTTTTTTTGTGAAATATATAGCACTACGTTGTAACGTTATAGGTAATTGTAATGAGTTTTAAATAATTTATATCACAAATCATCCTCCATACAAATACTTAATGCTCCGGCTGAAATGTTATCTAATGCAATTAATGAAACGAAATGACTCAATTCTTTTAACTAATGGGTTTAAAAATTTTCATCCATGTATTTAAGACACTTACCTCTGTACCTCGTATATTGTCAGCTCTTGTATTGAAATAAAAATAAGTAAAAGTTTGAGACTCTGTGTATAACTTGTAGTTTTATTTAAAATAATTGATATCAGGGTTTAGTGCGAGTTCAAAAATACTTTGTAACTAATGTGGGAAAAAAAACAGAATATTGTTACATAAATGTAAAAATTAACATAGAAACAAAAATAATAAAATAATTCGTCATTTAACGATCGATTCTTGGATCGAAAATGGCGCATTATACTATAAAAATACAGTTACCTATCGAACTTAATATTCTACCCACCGTACGGCGCTTTTAAATACGTAAGTAGATCTCTTTTGGCCGGCTATATGGTAATTTCTCTAGTCGGACAAAAGATGGCTTATATGGAATTCTAACCTAATCAAATCAGATAGTCCAAAAAAACATTATGATGTTATTTTATACAAAAATAGAAAGATTTATCGTCTTTACGATTACTCAAGTACTCAATTTGGTAAGTACTTTCTTTTAATTGGTCACTAATGATAGTTTTTAATTGAAATACCTGTATAGCACTGTGCAATATAAGATGTCCTAGTGTTAAACTTATTTCTTTTCAGCGTCCATAACAGAAGGATGTTACAAGTACCTGGGGGAAATGGAGGCCTTGCGTCTTATATGCCAATGCATACTTCCTGGGAACTCTTCTTCGGGCAATTTTACATAATATTGCGTGGGTAAGTTAAATTTAATATTACCTTTGACATTTATACACTAGTTAATCGTTTATACATAAACATTGAAGATTTAATATTTCTGTCTCTTTATTTTTAGGAAAAAAGGAGTTTGGAGAGGAAATTCGAAGGAAAAAATTTTTGTGTCCTTCCTTTTCGTTACTTTTCTAGCACTCTTTTTTGTTTCATCAACAAAATTCTGATTTGGATTTTTGAATCAAGTTGGATGAAAAAATAATTAGCCAATCAAAATTTTGATAGTTTAGTTACATCTTTAAAATTAGATTATTGGATTTTTAAGGTGAGTTTATTTAAACTGCTTATTTCATAATTTCGATGATAATTTATCGTTCATTAATTAATAGGTTATTTTGAAATCCGTGTTGTAATTTTTTTACAAATTTACATTTTAAAAATTATAATTTTCGTGTGGCAACATTGTCTCACTACATTTAGTTACTTTTGATCTTGTCAAATTTATCACTATACAGGGTGTAGTCTAAATACTTAGATGAAACTTTTTTAAATTTATTTCTTTGAAGACTTTTTATCATTAACTTGATATTCTTGGGATTCCGTGTTTCATTATAATATGTTTATATATGTTTATATATGTTTATATATGTTTATATATATGTTTATATATATGTTTATATATGTTTATATATGTTTATATACGTTTATATATGTTTATATATGTTTATATATGTTTATATATGTTTATATATGTTTATATATGTTTATATATGTTTATATATGTTTATATATGTTTATATATGTTTATATATGTTTATATATGTTTATATATGTTTATATATGTTTATATATGTTTATATATGTTTTTATATGTTTTTATATGTTTATATATGTTTATATATGTTTATATTTATATATGTTTGTTTAGGTGTGTTAATATATGTTATGTTTATTTAAGATTGTTAACCATAAATTCAAAAAGAATAACACAACTGGTAATAGAAGAACGGTAGGAAAAACTCGTGAAAAAAGAATCTTATGAAAAGAAATTCTGGAAAACTGAAGTCAAGCATTTACATTACAGTATTTAAAAACGTTGAGAAGGTGAAATCTTTAGTACCTTCTGTGTCAAATCCTAGTTCTTCTAAAGTCGGAACACCATATTTTTCATCATGGTCGTCTGTCAACGGTGTATGTGCACCATTTAACATTGAAGAACTAACAGGAATATCAGGTTTTGGTGGAGGTCCCATGGTTGCAATGATAGCCAAAAACTGATTGTAGGTCAGTGGCGCCCTTCCACTATTTCTATCAATTATGTGCTGCAGATGGTAAAGAGTGTGTGAAACACGTTGTATTACCTAAAAATGTTTCCGTTGTAAAAATGTTATACAAAAAAGAAACAAACTGAGAATGCCTTTTATTTTACTGTAAGATATTCGTAATAAAATCATTATTGTAACAATGAAAAAATAAGGCTATTCACCAACTAAGACTGAAATCCTAAAGCTTCGAAAGATGAGCTTGCATCAGAGATACGAAAAAGCATAGCTACACTTATGTAAATTAATATGGGAAATTGCGAAGGTCCAAAAATGCAATTTTATCATTAAATTTAGTAACTTTTCTAGTAGATTGGTTACAGTGATTTTCTCACTGGATTTTTATGATGGCAACACTGTGTGGCACTAGATTTAGTATTTTTTTCAAATCTAGTAACTTTTTTCAAGGTATGATTTCACGTCATTTGTCAACTGTTTAATCTGTCGAGATGGTGTCATCTTTCATTTGTCATATCTACCCACATACTTTGATTTTCTTTTACTATACGGAGAATGGTCGCACTGCGCAGCTTTATGAGTGCCTTTTAAAAGGAGATAGAAAACTCCGCCATTTTGAACCCTTATTACGTGTTGCCTACATCTTGGCGCAATATTTTTAATAGGTGCGTTTTAATCATCCGCTTCTGCTTCGGAATTGTCGGTTTTCTTGTTTTAATCTGACAGGTTAAAACGACTAAGCCGACAATTCCGGAAGCAGAAGCGGATGATTAAAACGCACCCATAGCCCTCAGAAGGTCTAGATACCGCATCGTAAAAACATTTTGACCCCCCATATGATGGGCGCCATGATAAATAAATGTCAATAAATTTTAAGTTGGCAGTACTGACAAGACAGAATCGGCGCAAGTTTAGTAATAAACGTAAGATCGGCGTTCGACGTATATAATCGATTTTATTATCTGTTGTGTTGTTTATTTTGTTTTTCTAGTAAAGGTTTTATTTCAAACATTATTTTTTAGTTTAGTCGTTTAGTGTTTTATTTTAATAAAAAACATTTGTGGTTTGGTGTTAAATTTTTACAGGATTTTCAAAATCTCTTTTTGTTTTGTACGTGAATGTAACAATGCATCTAACGGTAGAAGATACAAGGAAGGAATAAAATTTCATGTGTAAGTTTTCACAAATATTTGTGTATTTACAAAATCAAATAATTTGTATGTTTTGTTGTAGTATACAAAAAAATGTTAGGAAAGAATAACTGATAGCCATAGGAAGACCATTGAATCATTTTGTGACTTTAGTATAAGCCCAGAAAATTTGGGGATACTAGCTGAAACGGCAAATGTGTTTTTGGCTCCTTGTTAGTGACCTATTGTACAATTTTTCCAACACAAGTTCCATGATCCTTTGAACTTGGCTGCACCGTACTGATGAAAACCAATAGTCAGAAAAACGTGTCGACCGTTACTTCTTTTTTACTTTTTTTTATTCGGAAAATGTCCACTATTACTACCTTGATACAATAATATTAGTTCCGTTCTAAGTAGGTACATATTATAGTTTGTATGTTTTATGCTTTATTTTATTATATGTAATAAATGATAGGAAATATACTTTTATAGTAAATAAATTGATTAAAGCAATATGTAAGAATAAGTTTATCTAAGGATTAAATTGTTAAAGCAATTTTTCATATCTATTGTTTATTAATTTGTTTCATTTAATTCTTTCTTATTGAGTAAGTTATTTCATATAAATATGCGATACTTGTAAAATGTAATATTTTCTTTTAAATACGTATTATTATGTTCGTATAAAATATTGTTCAGTTAATAAAAACAGAAATATTTTGTCTTTTATTCAAAAGAAGTTTGTAAATTTTTCAAAATATATTTACCTACCCCAAAAAAAGATTATTAAAACCAGTTAGTCATATATACATTTTCTATATATTTATAGAGGTACTTTTTAAATAACTTTCAATACATTCGAAATCTGTGGTTTTATTAAACTCAATGTAACAAATAATAATAGGTATTCTCAAAAATATTTAAAAATAAAATCGAGATGGAACTCTTGTATAATTTAGTGACTATTCGCCTATGGTTAGTGCACTACTGTATGTCCCTAGGTTTTCTACATTAGAACAATACTGCTTCTCCACTCTAGCAGTATTTTTTGCATCTCAGATTATATTTATTAAAAAACCAAGGAATTGTTTTGGGCCTATTGCTGGGCCCTTTTCCAACATTCCCAAAGTTTTTTTTTTACTTTCTGCTGATTGTATCTCCGATAGCGACAACTCCATTTGTTGTTCCACTAGTTTTTTATCAAATTTTTAAAATAACTTCCTTATATTTATCTTTTGCAATGACTTTGCTTACCTGCTTCATAATCTCTTCCCTATGCCCCAATTTCTCTAACAGGTGAGATCTTATACTCGCTCTATTAAATCAAATTATCATTATAGTTTATTTGAAAATGCTTGGTAGCACAGTTTTTATGGCAAAGGTCCATATTTTTATATAATTTTGCTATAATTCATTTTCAAATAAACTATAGGAATAGGAGTAATCTATTAGTTTTTCTAAAATACCTTGTTACCGATGTAAGTATATCTTTCCCTAGTTAAAAAATTCGAGTTTTTATTTTCATAATATAATATAAATAAATGACCGGTTAACAATCACATTCTTTTAAATAGTACATTTGACATTGAAGTAGGTATTTTCTCCATATTGCCAAACAGAAACAGATGGTTTACTTGTAATTTGAATTATATTACATAAATCTCACTGAATTTCTCTATAATTCTCATAGCAATATGTACACAAACCACTTATCCAATATATAACCATGTAAAAATAACATTTCAAGAACGAGAAATTTTATAAAACCGGTCCTGTCTGAACAGATCTAGGAAAATCAAATAGGTTTGTCAAAGTTTTGTTCTTAATTTGAAATTAGAAATTGTGCGTCTCACTCACTTATAACTAATAACAAAGTGCAGATTATCGGTGTTCACGTATTACAGAACACACAAACTAAAAATCAGTGTAGCCAAAACATAAATTTACCTAACATGGCGACAAGCTTGAATGGGGTCATTTTTTTTGTATTGACAGTATACGCCAAGCGGTATCTAGACTTTCTGAGGGCTATGAACGCACCTGATATTTTGCTTGCTGCTGTCAGTGTCAGTGAATATTATTTTTGAAGTCACAGTTTATTGCTAAAGAATCAGTTAGCTCACACGGACCAGTTGAAAGTTCCAAAATAACATCCACTTCAGGGATACAAATTCAGGATACGCAGAAGACTGCTGTTTTATTATAGGCGGTTGTCATATATTGTATTATCCGAGTTGCACCGTGTATAAACTGAAACATTGAGATCAAAAGTGCCGATGCAGAGTGGGCGATCTGATTCTTTAGCTGTAAACTGTGTCACAGGGTTCAAAATGGCCGCGCCCTATGTTGGGCGTGTCGGACCTCTCTCTTGCCTCGTATAGTAATCAAAGTATGTGTATCTACCACTAGATGGCACCGACCTTCATTACTATAGTTCAGTGCTAGATGGATGCTGTTATTTATCAATAATCTAAGAAATGTGACATTCCGCAACTCACTATACACCATCATTGCCCCGCAGAAAATTACATGATTTTGAAATGATACTCTGTTGAGTTCGAGATGTTGGACTCCTATTACTCTTTTCACTCCATATCTAAAGGCTGTATGTCACGATACTAAATTAAGTACTAAATTTAGAACTAAATTAATGCATTTTTTAAGTACTAAAAAAAATCACGTTGCAAACAGCAAATTTAGTACTAAATTTAGTACTAAAAAAAGTCATTAATTAATTAGATCTTGTTCTATTTTCTACTAAATTTAGTACTAAAAGTGCGCCGAAATGTTGCGCAGAAGTTTTTCATATAAAAAGTTGACACGACGGTATTTTCTGTACCCTTTTATTTTTTTAATTAGCGACACTTTCACATTATCGCCTTGAATAAAGTTCGCCTGTTTGATTTTGTAGGTTTTATTGTGTTTTTCCGTGGTTTTTATGCTGTATTTGGTTGTCAAGTCAACTATAGTCTGTTTAAAAACCAGGAGGAGCGATTTGAATTTAAGTTGGCAATTCTGGAGACTTCTGATTGGTCAGATTGCAGCCAGTTTCACACATCACTTTTGCATTAACATCAGCTGATAACTGACATTATTGACACTTCTGACATTTTATTTTTAGTTCTGTTATTGCTTTCGGTTTTTGTTTGATCTCTTATCATTATTACTTAGTTTTTCACTCTATTTCTTTAAAAAACAGTTCTTTTCATAACTTCGGTAAGCAATTGTATTGAATATCTGCGATTATGGATAATTCTACACCGAGTACTAGTAGAGATAGCAGTTCCTTGCGTAGTCCACCAAAACAGCGAAAACGTTTGAGTTTAGGCCATTTAAGTCTCGCAGAAAAACAGCACATAATAAATATGTACAAACAGGTGTTGGATGATAAACCAAAAACCAAAATTGTGGATGTTGTATCCAAAATTTCCCAAGCCGCCGGTAAGTTATACCTACTCATTACTTTGAAATTAAAAATGGTATTAAATACCCAAAATTTTTTACAGGAGTTGTAAAGTTAACAGTTTACCGAGTCTTAAAAGAATACCGTAAAAGTGGAACCATATCTAGTCCAAAAAATATAGGTGGAAGACCCGGACTTCTAAAAACATTTGATGAGGGGTTCAAAAATGCTGTTAGAAGATTGGTACATAATTTCTTTTTAAAAAATGAATTACCTACATTAAATAAAATTTCACAAGCATTGAAGAAACGTTTAGATTTGCCACAAATATCTCGGTCATCTTTATATACTTGAAACTTATTAACTTTAGGTAAGTTTGTAACTTTGAAAAGTCAAATGAAATGTTTATTTATTATATATATTTTTTAGATATTTGAAAAGAAATCGTCAAAGTGTATTAATAGAACGTGATAATATCTGTAGATGGAGGTTATCATATTGACAATCAATCTAACAATATAGAAAACATGCCAATATTTTATGTGTCAACTTTTACACCTAATTGGGCAACATAAAGATACACATAATTTGTATGTTCTCGATGAAATGGCAAAAGAAGCCAATAAAGTTGTTTTGATAGAATTGATATGGGCACAAATAAAGAATGAGGTGGCAGCAAAAAATACAACTTTTAAGTTAGCAGATGTGAAAGGCCTTTTATTACAAGCTATTGGAAATGTAACGCCTACAAATTAGCATAAGTGTACAACATGTGATTAAGGAAGAAGATAAAATGAACACATCAGATGGAATAATGGATGACATTATAGAGCCCTTAATAATAACTGCCAACACTGGAAGCTTAGACGAAATGGAATCTTTTGAATCCGAATCGTCTGATGTTGATTAATATATTGAGTACCTGGTGTTTTTTCTTTGTTTCTACGTAAATGTCAAGATGAACTTTCTGTTTTTACTTAATATGTTGTATAGACACTACTTATGTATTTGTTCTGTTTGTGTTTTGCAAACTTATTATTAATTAAAATATTATAGCAAATTTGTAAAATAAAGATAACTACTATTCATGTTGTTTTTTTAATTCACATTTAAAAAAAAAACTTTACAAAATTGTGCACTGTAGTACATATTATAAATTGGTCAACATTGCTTCTTGGTGTTCTAGTTAAACAAAAAAACAAATTTGTTAGTTTTAAAAATTGAGGAATTTACCTAAATGATTAAACTGTAAGTGAATATTCAAGTAATTTTTATTTATTAGAAAACAAAACCATTCACAAAATTGTCACAATAAATACATAGGTAGGTATAAATAAAATACTTTAAATTAAAAAATATACTCGTAAAATCAAATCCTGACTCATAAACTTTATAGGTCTGTAAGCTTTTGAATATCTTCACCCAGCGAGCACAAAACGATCTATGAATGTAACAGCTACTTCCCCATAAAACATTGAACCCATGTGATGTACTTTTAATGTTAAAGTAACCAAACAAAAATTTAAAATAAAAGCCTTACACACAGTTTTTTAAAACCACAACCAATGTTGAAATGTTTTAAGAGTTTTTACATTCACAAGTTCTAGATGATATACATAGGTATAGGTGTATTATTCTAAACAATCACTATATTCTACTTATCAGAGTCATTACTATACTCTATTTACCAGGACCATATCAATGGATTTTTTAAAAAGATGTTTTAGCAGGAAATATCTTATATATTTGATAAAAACCGAAGTACCTACCTATATACTCTTTTTATTAAAACACAACTCACTTAATTCTTGAACATTTATTTATTTATTTCTTAAACCCTTGAATTGAAGGATTTCTTAGAAGTAGCACGTTTACTTCGATATACACATTACATGTATGTAACAAACAAAATATTCAATATAAACGTCTAATATTAGGGCCAAATCACAAATAAATGTTGATATAAAAACATCACATAATCGCCCAATTATGTTCTATGCCCTTTAGTGTATTAACTATAAGTTAACACTAAATAAGCCACATATTCATATTACTCATGGGAGGAATTCCAGTCACTGTGTAATCCAGAGTAAAGAGTACTGTGTGGTAAAGGGGTCCAAGCCACTTATTAACTTTTACTTAAGTTTATACCTACAACAAATGTACCTATCATTGAAATGTAAACAGATCGTATTTTTATATTTTATACTAACCTGCATCTGAATATTCTATTAACATTTTCTTAAATATTCAATATCCATTTCAAAAAGATTAAAGTTATTCTCAAAAAGTCGATTTTCTAACAAAAATATATAATATACTTATATTTATATTTCTGATAACCTATAACATCAACAAAGTCAACAGCCATATTTAATTTCAATTTTCAATTAATTGACACTATTGACAGTTAGTTTTTGCCCAAGATCACAGAAATTTACTACCGTTGTCTGGGACCAATAAAAAGTTGACTCCTAGACATATTTATTTGTGTCTTGACCTCTCATTGGCCGTTCGCTGACTAGGACCAGTCGGACCGATAATGATAACTATTTTAGAGATTTTGAACGCGACTATTTCGGAACACGCTCTTTAGTAACTAATTTAGTTACTTTTAGTGGTGTGAGTTAGGATTTTCGAATTACTCCTCCTGGTTTTTAAATAGACTATAGTATCAAATTGATAATAAAAACACCATTTACTTCACTTGTCTGTTTTACACAGAATATTTCATTTCTCTGCTAATTTCACGTATTAATACGTCAATGCGCGTGCGCCCATAGTAAATTTAGTACTAAAAATTGGTATCGTTGCAAACGGAAAAAAAATATTTTTAGTTCTAAATTTAGTACTAAATTAATGACTTAATTTAGTGCTAAATTTAGTACTTAATTTAGTATCGTGACATACAGCCTTAACTTGACATTACTAAATTACAATGATTTAGCATAAACTGATGTTAGTTATGGAGTGGATAGAGTAAAATGAGTCTACCTACCGAACTCAACATAATCTGGTGACAGTCTTACCAGCATAAACTTCTAATAAGAAAAGCAGTGTTACCAACATACTAAAAAAGTTACTAGATTTTGTAGTTACTAAATCTAGTGATAAAATTGCCTTTTGAGACCTTAACGATGTTCAATGTTAATTTGCATAGGGTACATATTTCAGAAAGATCAAATTCTGTTGGCGGCCAAAATCCATAAGAATTTTTTAATTTATACTTATATTAAAGTTTACCGTTATGCCTAGTTCATTACATAATGCAGTGATGTTATGGTCTCTCACTCTTCCAAAAGGTTCAGGATCTTCTTCGAAAGTCAGAGCAGTGGTACCCCATTCTTTAAAAAGTTTCGGTAACACATCTGCAGGTTGTCCCCTTATAACAAATAATCGAGAATTTAATTTTCTCAAGTTACGATCCAAATCTTCCAGACATTGCAATAAAAATCTAAAAATAGACAGTATCTAGCGAATGATTGATTCTTTTTAAAACAATTAACTAGTTCGAAATTACCTCCACTTGTTAATTCCAACACTGGACGAACCGGCGAACCAAGGGTCTAGGACGAAAACACAACGAAATGTCTTGGCTTCTTTTAGACCTTCTTTCAGAGAAGGGTTGTCGTGTAGTCGCAATCCTTTACGGAACCAATGCACCGTGTGTTTCTCCTTTCCGATGGATGGTTGGCACACACTCCCACTCATCTACTTAATGCGGAAACACATTTTTATTTTCATAATGCTCTTCTATTGGAAGTGAACTGAAAATTTGAGAAAAAGAAAATTGTATATGTTGAACCGAATGAAATAACAGAGTTGATTACAATTCACCAAAATTTGCGATTTCTATATAACTATTTACAATGAATATCTAGTGGATTGCCATTATTTATCGATTAAAAAAACGGACTTTGAGTAAATAAGATATAATTGGCGCAGTCAGTAGGATATGAGATTGATTCGTATCGATATTTGTTTTCGATTTGCCGTATATTGAACTTAAGGATAGAGTCTTCAAAGGATTTGCGTTCGAATTCTTTACTGCGGGACTCCCTAACCAGTAGTGCCTGTAGTCAAATATTTGGTAAAATAATCTACTCGCCAAAATGAATTATCGATCCGTTGAATTTGTTATTTGCTACTCACGGAGTTCTTAGCGTAGAATCATTTCTATCTGGATACGGAAACGAGGGGAAGATCAATATTTTAGTACCAACAAAAAAATAATATAGTGTTAGAAGTTAAATGAATTAACTTCAAAATTATTGTTTTTAACTTATTTATCACCCTATATACTATAACACCCTGTATAGCCACTTTATAAAACACGTGTTAACATGGTTTTATGTTTTATTGAATATCTCGTAAACAATGTTTGTAATGTAATTAATTAAGGAACAAAATAAAGAATGTTTTTAACGGCATATTGCCTATCACTTCATAGCGTTCGGCTGGTCGAAAGTCAAGCCCCTGCTCTCTCCTGGTCCTGGACACTGCAATGAGCAGACGTGGTACTGTCATCCCCAGTGGCGGCGATATCCTAATTCGCTGACTCTAACAGACACTGTAACGGGCAGACGTGGTACCGTCGACCCCAGTGGCGGCGATATCCTAATTCGCTGACTCTAACAATAGTTATATTATTTATTTTATTTAAATAGTAATTACAAAGCAATAAGTAATTATATAATTATTTATTTTTTAAATTTTTTAAAAACGAGTTTTTTATTTGTATTTATTAATTCTATATACCTACATACTGATTGCTAGATCCATGTTTTCAAAAAAAGATAAATTTCATTTTTTAAAATACGGAGAAAATTTATAATCACCTATAATTAAATGACCGATTTTTGCTTTAGCCGAAAACGAAATATTTAGATTTATAAAAATGATGTATATAGATATTAATACCATTAATAAAGGAATGGGTAGAGCTTGGGACTTTGGATTCGGCGATTCGGGTTTAAATCCCATAGTATTTGATAGCGTATATCGTTGACACCAGTAGAAATAAATATTTACCTCTTATATTGATTTTAAGAGAATTTTTAACTCCATAAAATAAAAAAACAAATTGCTCTCATTTTCATTGTTTTACAATATAAGAAATATAAGATACAAATTTAAAAAATGGGGATTAAATTAAAATGATTTCACTTTCCGTAAGTAGGTATTAAGTACCTAAGTCTAGAATTTTTTTATTATTATTATTATAATACTGTAATGTGAGCCATTTCATTATTCAGTCATGCTCTAATCCTCCAAGTCCCTCTCTGTTTTATTTGGCCTTTGAGGCTCAACCTGTACGATTATTATACATAATTAAACCCCTTAAGACCAAACATATGTGACGACTATGGTAGAGGCACTTTCGCGAACATTCCTTAGTCATCGTGATAACGTTTCTGGTATATTCCGGATATTTTGGTGGAGGAGCATTCTAGATCACCAATTTGTATATAAATATTGGTGGAGGACCAACAAAAAGTCATTAGTAGATAGACAGTGATGAATATAAATAGTGAACGATTCAAAGACATTCTAAATATATATATATAACTTAGAATAGTAGTGTTATAAAATAAATAAGTGTTTAAATAAATTACTAATAAATAAACTGTTGTTTTAAAATAAACAAACATCATATTGGTGTCGAGAAGTGGAATAGTGTAAATAAATAGCTAAAAAACTGTGTGATTTAAAAGTGGCTGAATTGCGTCGAGAATTAGAAGATCGTGATCTGGAAACGACAGGAAAGAAAGCAGAACGGCTTAAAGAAGCAATGGAAAGCGAAAGTTTGGATCCGGAAACGTTTCTATTTTCGGATTATGCTTCTTCTATAATTTCTTCAATTTTTTCCGATTTGGAAAACAAAATCTCCTCTGTGAAAAATGAAATTTTCTCTTTAGAAACCAAAGTTTCGTCTGATATGACCTCTATGAAAACCGATATTTCCTCATTAGAAACTAAAGTTTCTTCAGACATTACTTCCTTAGATACTAAAGTTTCTCCTTAGAAAATAAAGTTTCTTCAGACATTTCTTCCTTAGAAGAAAAGGTGTCTTCTGACATATCTTCTTTAAAAACCGAAATTTCTTACGACTTGGAAAATAAAATGTCTTCTATGGAAAATAAATTTTCGTCCAATATTTCTTCCTTAGAAGGAGAAAATAATGACTTCCGTTGAGGAGAAAATAAAAGAAATGGAAAAGAAGTTGAAATTGGAAGGAGCTGTAAACTCTCCTCGTGTTAAAGCCCCAACTTTTGACGGGAACATGTCTAGGACGAAATACCTCAAGCAGTTCGAGACTCCTGTCAGAGCAAACGAGTGGTCTGAACGAGAGAATGCAATAAATTTGACCATCGCCTTTCGAGGAGACGCTTTGGATGTCCTTCAGACTATACCCGTGGAAGAGACAGATGATTTTGAGCAACTTAAAAAGAGACTAAATATGCGATAAGGTCACGAACATTTGGAGCATCTATACCAGTCACAGTTAAAGAATCGCAAACAGAAACGAGACGAGACCCTTCAAGAATATGAAGTAGATATTGCCAGATTGGTGCGATTTGCCTACCCATCAGCTCCGGAAAACATGATGGAATGTTTAGCAGTCCAAACATTTGTTGATGGACTCCGTGACCACGAGATGCAGAAAACACTTCGCTTAGCCCGCCACAAAATATTGGTCGATGTCTTGTCCGCTGCTTTAGAGTATGAGGCAGCTACGCAGGCTTCTGGAGGATACAGTAAAGTGAAAACTGTAAAAGAAGAAAACGTAGAAGATAAACTCGATCAACTAGTTAACATAATGAAGACCTTTACTGATAAAAAGATGAAGACAAAGACCATCAGATGCTGGAATTTTGGTGAACTGGGGCATGTACGCAGTTCGTGCAAACGCCCTAGGGTCCCAACAACTGAAGACAACACGCCGCAGGAAAACTAGAGCGGGTCGGCCTAGAGGGGGCAGCTTCGACCCGAAACCGTTCCAAAGACCCTCTCATACTGATAGCCTCTTTGAAATGTCGCGATGATAGTGTATACGTAGACGGCGAAGTAAATGGTAAAAAGTATACACTGTTGGTGGATACTGGAGCAACTAGAACCATTATACGACCAACAACCATAAAGAATTGTAAGATACTTCTACCAACAAGATTGCGGCTGCGGATTGCCATAGGTGAAAGTGCCAACATCCATGGGGAAATCCAGGTTCAATTGGGAATTGGTACAGAAAAGTTCACTCATACTGTTATTGTCGCTGATATCGAAAAAGATGTTATACTTGTAATGGATGTAATGAACTTTTTCCAGTTAGACTTAAAAACAGAGTGATCAAAGTTGGTGCCGAAGAGATATTCCTACATCGATATGGGGACAGTACCGTGCCAGTTGCTGTACAAGAGGATACGGTAGTACCTGGCAGAAGTGAAACCGCTATAGTAGTACGGCTTCAAGAAACTATGGAAGAAGGAACACCTGTAATGATGGAATCTTGGAACCACGATGAAGAGGTTGGACGAGGCATTCTGATCGGAAAGGGGTTGGTTACGCTAAGGAGATTCCAGTCCGTCATATAAACGTTAATGATCACCCAATTACCATCAAGAAAGAGACCAGAATCGGAACGTGTGTACCAGTAACTTCCATAATTCGTCAGACAACAACTTCTGATAATTCCAACGACAAATTTGAGCAAATGATTGCAGTTGCTGGTCAATCTCTGAATCCATTAGAGAAAAAGAAAATCAAGGAATTTCTTCGACGATATCGTGATATTTTTGTACCAAAAGGAGGAAAAACAGGGAGAACTTCTGTTGTAAAACACAAAATTGACACTGGTGACGCCAGGCCGATTCGACAATCAGCTCGAAGATTACCAAAGGCCAAGAGAGAGGAAGCTGGAAGGATTGTTCAGGAAATGAAGGAAGACAGGGTGATAGAACCTTCTACCAGCCCATGGATCTCTCCGGTAGTCCTGGTTCAGAAAAAGGATGCAACCACGAGGTTCTGTGTGGATTACCGTCAGTTGAACAATGTTACCAAGAAAGACAGTTACTCCCTGCCTCGTATCGACGATACCTCGGACACATTGGCCGGAAGTAAACTATTCTCTACCTCAGATTTGAAGTCTGGATACTGGCAGGTGAAAATTGACCCAGTAGACAAAGAAAAGACAGATTTTACCACCGATTCTGAATTGTGGCAATTCAACGTTATGCCATTTGGATTATGTAATGCCCCTGCGACATTTGAAAGACTTATGGAATGTGTATTGAGAGGGTTATCCCGGAAAACATACTTGGTGTATTTAGACGACATCATAGTCTTGGGGAAGACATTTGATGAACATCTAAAAAACTTAAAAGGTATTTTTAAAAGACTTCAAGCTGCCCAACTGATGCTAAACCCCAAGAAGTGACAACTATTTCAAAATAAAGTTAATTACCTAGGTCATGTAGTCAGCAAGGATGGCATGGCTGTAGATAAGGAAAACTCGCTTCTATCAAAGAGTGGCAACAACCAAAGGATAAACACCTAATAAGAAGTTTTCTTGGGCTACCGAAGATTTATAAAGAAGTTTGCAGATATTGCTTAATCACTAATGCGACTCACAGAAGAAGCAAGATAATTCTGCTGGGACGAAAACTGCCAAACTGCCTTCGAAACTTTAAAGAAGCGTTTAACAACAGCGCCAATATTAGACTACCCACTACCAGAGGGAGAATTTATTCTGGATATTGATGCCAGTAAC